CTTTGCTTTGTCCGGGCGGCTGCTGAACTGCGGAGTGGCGTGGACCTCATGTAGAAATGACAATGGAAGGGGCCGGCGGGTCGAGTTTTGGAATAGACACGATTTTGTCCAGTGCCAGTTCGGGCAGCCCGGGCATGATGAATGGAGATTTCCGCCCGCTTGGTGAGGCCAGGACCGCGGATTTTAGGAGTCAGGCCACCCCGTCCCCTTGTTCGGAGATTGATACCGTAGGAACGGCGCCTTCTTCTCCTATCTCGGGCAAAGTTTGCAGCCTTCACCCCAACAGCAGCCGCCGCCGCCAGCGCAGCAGCCGCCGCCCGCCCAACAGCTGGGCTCGGCCGCCTCGGCCCCCAGGACTGCCTCCTCTTCTTTTTTAATTAAGGACATCTTGGGCGACAGCAAACCTCTGGCGGCGTGTGCACCCTACAGCACCAGCGTCTCCTCTCCCCACCACACCCCGAAGCAGGAGAGCAACGCACAGCACGAGAGCTTCAGGCCAAAGCTGGAGCAGGAGGACAGCAAAACCAAACTCGACAAGCGGGAAGATTCCCAGAGCGACATCAAATGCCACGGTGAGTCGCGCCGCCCGGCTCTCAGCCGTCTGGCATCTTCTCCCGTCTTCCTTTCTCCCTTTTAGCCTCCAGCGAATTTCTGATGGCGGTAATTCTGGGAGCTCCGCGTTTGTTTGGGTGATGGTCAAAAGACCGAAAGCTGGAGGGAGGCCTGGGCTTTGGTTGGGATTTGACCGAAGTTTTGTTTATTGTTACATTTTTGTCTGTCAACCTTCACTGCTCTCCAGCTTTTCCTTTGTTGTTATACTTTTGTTGTTGTTGTACTTAATTTTATCTTAGGTGGTGGTGGTGGTGGGCCAGAGGAGGGGACCTAACTGATGGGAAATACTTTTTGTTGATAAAAAGGACAGACCGGGGGTTTTTTTAGCTGAGATATTGGGAATGGGAATGGGGAGGGAAACCATTTAGCTACCCAGTTGTCTAGAGGTGTCATTACAACCTGGTGTTTATCCTTCAATGCAAATGATTTCATCTTCTCCACATCTTTCCCAAACACCATCACATGAATTCTAAGATTTAGTGAAGTTAAGACATTTTCAGTCGATTAATGGAGCACATTAAAGAAATTGGATTGTGATCAATACAGGGAAGCCAGTAAAAAAAATGATAATCAGTTTTTTTTTTTTTTAAAAAAAAACACCCTTCTAACCCCATAGCACTAACTGAATATCTTTATCTCAGTAAGATTATTTTTTTGGCCCTAATAAGTAACTGGGAGGAAGCATTTATAAAAATAAGATTTTGTGGAATTGAATTTATCTGTTTCTGTAAAAACCCAAATCAGAAGATGCTAACTGAAATTGTCCTTCAATTCCCTTTTTCTATTTTCTCTTCCAAAAATTCATCGATAAGAGTTCTGGTCTTTAGATGGTAAAAGTGTAAATATACCGAGAGTCTTTCCCCCCTTTACTGATAAGTTCTTTATTGTTATTATTATTAATCCTTGCTTCTCTGGGAAAGAAGTGTGGAAGGTAGGGTGTAGGCTCCTCGGTTTACTATTACAGCATTAGCATAATAGTGCCCAAAACAGATGTACAGTCTGGCCTGGCGATTTTTTGTGCACCAACCTCCCCAGTGGGTCAATTAGAGAGATTATTGTTCTTCCTGCAGGGAAGATCAAGGAGCGCTGCACAAACGGGTACAAACAGAGAGGGATTGACATATCGATTTCCCAGCATTTCAGTAAAAAACCAAAGTTGACAAATAGAATCCGGAAATCTTGGTGCTGTCACCTGGATGGACTCAGTGATTTTTGAGCTCAACTCGATGTCTGGGTGACATTTTCTTTTTGAAGCTGTTTTAAAAGCCCCGATGCAGAGGACTGTAGGAAGCTCGCTTCTAACATATCCCAAGTGCACCTGAAAAAGACACAAACGGCTGGAACTTGCAGTCAACAAAAAAGAAAAGAAAAAGATAGCCCCTCCTTTAAAAAAGATCCTTTTAAAACCCCAAACAGAGTAGAAAGACTTTTTGAAAAGTACCAAACCAGAAAAACAAAGTATAGCAAAGCCAATGAAGAAAAGAGACAGTATCTCCCTCAATCAAGTAAACAATAACAAAAGAACCCTTTATTGGAAAGTAATTTTTTAACTTCCTAACTTTCAGCCATTTGAAGACACACTTTTTGCACCCTCTTAGGCCCTTCGCACAAAAGGCACCAAACTCCCCAGCCAACAAATGGCTCTTTTCCTTAATATTGGCTGAGGCCCCAGTATAAGTGTGTAAGGGGGATGGCAGAGTGTGGTCCCCTGAGACCAGTGGCTGGCTTGGGAACAGGGAAGTGTGAGCCAGGAGGACACTACCCTTCCTCATTCCAGGCTAACTTCACACTGTGGCCGGATTTCTATCATAGGAACAAAGGAAGAAGGAGATCGGGAGATTACCAGCAGCCGAGAGAGTCCCCCTGTGAGAGCCAAGAAGCCTCGCAAAGCCAGGACGGCTTTCTCAGACCACCAGCTCAATCAACTGGAACGCAGCTTTGAGCGGCAGAAGTACCTGAGTGTGCAGGACCGCATGGACCTGGCGGCTGCCCTCAACCTCACTGACACTCAAGTCAAGACCTGGTACCAGAACCGCAGGTAAGGGAGGCTGTTTGGGGGAGCAAAGGTGTCTGGCCGTTCAGGTCAAGGCCACTATACCAGTCTTCTTTCCCTCCTGGCCTCTTGAGACCCTGAGGCTGCCAGTAGGTACTTGGGTGCTTTCAGACTGGGTCAGGGATTAGCCACTCCCACTCCCCCTTCAGAGAGACCATGACAGCTGAAGTTTGGATAATTTTGCACGACTCAGTATTTTAACAGGTGCTACTCTTTTTCTAAAACTCAAGCCATTGGAATTCTCCCCAAATCAATCAAGCCACACTTTCTCAAATAGAGACATCTGTGCAGCTGACACTCAGGCCCAGAGAGCCGATGTGGTCCACCCCCTGGGCCTGCCCCAGGCTGGTTCCAAATGTCTGGAGCCGGCAACACGTTCAGCTAGTGCTGTCCCCACAGAACTGTCTCATCAGCCTTGCTTAAACATCCTTGCTTTGGCTCTTGTAAGGGTGACTGAGAGAGGCAGGGTCTGAGCCTTAGTGAGCACAGCTGAGGAGACTAGGAGAGCCCAGCTGGGTTAGAGTAGGGTCCACGGCAGGCTAGAGAACCAGGGAGCTGGCCAAGCATCTGATCGATCTTGGGCGGAAGGTTCCCTGTCCTGGCCCCCTCTGCTATCTCTTCATAGGGAGAAAAGGTGCCACGGAGCCCGTTGGTCGCTGCTGCCTTCCTAGAAGGGAAATTAGGAGAGCGGTGGGCAGTGCTTTTGGTGCCTGCACTGTAGAGTTAAACCTGAGCACGCTGAAGCCAAGGTCCCGCTATTTCCGAGCCTGGCGCTCATCTCCCTTGTCTCGATTTTTCTCTCCCCCTCCTCTTCTCTCGTTTGTGTTCTAATCGCCCATAAGTGCGGTTGGAAATGCCCATCCAGTTGTCATCTTTACCATAATTTTCTGTCTCATTACATACGGTTTCAGCCACCCTAATTCTGTCGGAAAACATTAGTGTCATTTGTAGCCAATTTAAAATGGGCGACATGTTTATTAATTTGGCTGGAGCTGCTGGGTATGGACGGCCCACCAGCCCTGCATGCCTTCCTGAGAGGTTGAGCAAACGCCTGCTCAGCTTTTCTTCCTAGCGGGGTGTGGGGTGTGCGGTGGGGGAGGGAGGAAAGGCAGAAAGGCTGATCACAGGTTTTAATTGTTACTTTCTCCCCAAGGAGGAGATATCTTGAAATGCAATTTCCCCCCTAGAATGGCCGGGAGGTACTGTCCCCTTGGGAGAGCTCTCCCTCAAACGAATTCTGTTTGAAACCTTGTCACTCTCCTGGCCCTAAGCCCCTAACCCACCGTAAGGCTCCTTCTGGCTGAGAGAGGTGTGTCTTCACAACCCTGGGGATGGAGAGGGACTGGGGTCCAAGGCCCTAGAGTCTTTACATTTCTTTGTTTAAGGTTTCCTATTCTTCAGCCTGGGGGGAGGAGGAGGGGCCAAGAACAGACCCTTTGGAATTGGGGGGGTCACGTGGTGGAGGAATTACCAGAGGAGAGAGAAAGTGTCTGTGGAAAGTAAGGTCTCATTTGGCTTCTAGGAAAGTTTCAGGAAGAAGCCAAACTCTAAGTATGTGTGTCGGGCGGTTGCAGCGTCTGGGCAGGGCCCAGAAAAAGGCAAAGTTCTTAGGATTTCATTTGTGAGCATCTCAGCAGACGTTGGGGACATTTACAAAACTGACTGGGTTTGGGTCGCACTGCGCCCACGCCCCTGGAAGGAGAAGCAGGGGTGGTGTATCCTGAGTTCACATATCTCTCTGAGTCTTCCTGCAGCCTGGGGAGGAGGAGGTGGGGTGAGCCCCAGGGCAGCCGGGCCTCGGAGCCTGGGCTCTGCGCTTACTGGCTGCGCACGGCCGCCTTCTTTCAGGACCAAGTGGAAGCGGCAGACCGCAGTGGGCCTGGAGCTGCTGGCCGAGGCGGGGAAC